GCTGGAGTGTTGTGGGGATCAAACTACAGCAACCTGAGGCTGACAGCTTTGTGGAAGCAGCCACTTAAACAACTGAGCTAAGGCCAGGCCCCCTCATTTAAATTGTTATAGTTTATTTCTTATAAAGTAAAGCCAGGCTTAGCATGAATTCTCATATCATCCTCTTATTTTTGGGGGGTTTTTTCCTCTTTCAAATTGTGATTATGTGCCATGTTTTGGAAAAGGTATTTAGAGGAAAAAAAAAAGAAAAGGTGTTTTTGTTATAGAAAAATATTTTTATTTATATGTAAATTTATGATGTAAAATCTCTCCCTTTTTTTCCATAATTTTATTGATAAACAAATAGCAATGAAGGGGGCCTGCGCAGTAGCTCAGTTGTTTAAGTGCCTGCTTAAACAAAGACCTCAAGCTCAAGCTTCTGTGGTTCGAACACAGACAGTCACTGCAAACCAGAAATGCCCTAAAGGCATTTTGAGCCTTCAAAAAAAAGAAAAAAAAAAAAACTTGTACAAAATAGCAATGAGATAGTTTCAAATCAAATTGGTAGGACAGTTTCAATAATTAACACATTGCATACATTCTTCCTAGTGGTTAATTGCTGTACAAAATGCGGACATGAGATCCTGTTTACAAACACCATTAGAACAAATCACTCTATTCATTAAGAGAATGTAACTATATATCTATCCTAACCAATTTGAATACACAGATACAAAATGGACATACATCTGTATACCCTTTTTTTGTTAAGTTCTGTTATTTTAATATTATAGGTGTTTTAATATTATAAACTCAGCAAAATATTCTAAAAGAGTCCAGTAGCCCATAATAGTAGTGGGTCTTCCACTTGACTGGCAATGTCAGAAATTGTTGACCTGAGTCCCCTAAAGCTCAGCCTAACAGCATGGCTTTACTTCTTATATTTCATTTTTATACTTTTCTGCTGGATGGTTAAGACCAAAGTAAAGCAAGACCTATGCAACAAGAGTTGTAGCTTTTGGGTCTGAGAAGGTCAGTGAAATCCCCTCAGGATTTATCCTGAGATCCTGTACCTCACATTGTAGAACCTTTGTCAGTGTCAGCCATGTGGATGAGTCACGGCCATTGCTTGGCCAGTGTGCTCTCTGTGAAAGCCTGAGAGAATGTTTTCTCTCCATGTGACTCTCCTTAGGCACACTCTACATCATCGATCACTTTCCTCTTTGGCCCCGTAATGTCCTTGATCAGAAAATTTGGGACACTGCCGAGTTACATGACATTACAGTAGAGTCTTAATTGACCTTAGAAGGCTAGGACCAAAATGTTGGCTTTCCTTGCAGCCCTCCTTTTTCTCTAATTTTGGTCTACAAACTTAGGTTGTTAACCATCCAGAAGAATCTCTCCTTTAATAATATCTAGAAGTCTGGTAGCCTTACATGTGTTATATAAACATAAGTTACCTAATACATTGTAGAATTTAAATCTTCTATGCATCCTGAGTTTGCTTAGCCTCTGGGTATGAGCTTTACATAGGAGATAGTCAAAAGTAGTCAGTTACGGATAGATATATTGAGGGAGTGAGGAGTTCTGGTGATAATAAGTGGATAAATGTATAAGCTAAGCCTGGTTTACATCTCATCCCGCTGGCTTACTGTCTCTGAGGTCTTATTCATTGCTGCTTCTCTCATGTTACCTGTCCCACTGCCAAGAACACCCTCCTTCTTCTCTTTTGCAAATCCAAATTCTGCCCTCTCGTCAAAGCTCACCTTCCCTCCTGCTTCATCTGGGTATCATTCTCTGTTCACGTAGCATGTTGAGATTGTTTCTTTTTCTGAAATACTCATTTCCTTGAATACTCTGTTCTCCAAAGCCTAGGAGTTAATCACACATTATTATATTCTGCATGTGCTCTTGTCCTGTGGGAAACTGGAAGCTGCCCAAGAGAGGCTGTGCGTATTACTTTTTTGGACTTATGTTCATAACCTTGGGTAGTTGGTATTCTTTCATTTATGGTTTAATATTTATATTACTAAAAATCTTGGGTTTAAATCTAGTCTTATCTTTTGAAAACATATGTTATAGCTTATGTCTAATTGTCCCCCCAAAGCCTCATGCAGTCATGGGGCGGGTTCTGAAGAATGTGATTTTTTTTTTTTTTTTTTTTGGGTACAGGGTCTCACTACACAGCTCAGACTCATAGTTATTCTCCTGTCTCAGCCTCCCTTTGTTGGGATTACAGGCACGCACCACCACGCGAGGCTGGTACAGCATGTGGTGCCAGGGATCGAACTCCTACTTGCCTAAGCATGTGCATAGTCTGCTGAGCTGTCTCACCAGCCTTGTGATTAATTCTTGATCCACTGCTGGGATTATGGGTGTGAGTGCCCTGGGGCAGGTACTCTACATTACAGTGTAAGGAGGGGAGAGAAGCTAGCTAGCTGCCTGAACTGCTGCCATTCCCTTTGGTCTCTTGCTCTTTGCCACCTCCACGAAAGGTTATTCTCTGCCATGTGCCACTTTGCCTTACAGTCAGTCAGCTGAGTATGGACTGAAACCTCTATAAACTGAGCTAAATAATCTTTTCCTTCCTTCATTTTGGGTATTGGGTGTTATGTCCCAGCAATGAATGAAAAGTTACCAAGACAGCATATGTACACAGCATGGCCACTTTTACCACAAACAGAAGTAAGCGTTGTTTTTTTATATTTTATTTTTATTAGTAAATGTTTGCAGTACGTAATGATTGCATTCATCACAGAGAGTTCATAGATATACATAACATATGTTAATTTTTTTCTTTTCTCCCCAACCGGTCATCCCACCATCTTTTGGTCCCCTTGCCTTTTGCAAAAGGTCGATGTCTCCACAGAAACAAACTTTAAAACCTGTTCTCTTTTGCTTTATGTTTACATTAAATATCTTGGATATCTTTTCAATAGTTGATAATACTTACTTGTCTGCATTAAAACTTACCCTTAAGATCAGATTACCTTAAGGCAGGTGATCTTGTGTGGTACATAGTGTGTTGGGGATGTAGGAAGAATAAAGACAGGCAGGTTGTGACAGATCCTTTCATTCTAGAAAAAGATTATATTTCAGGAGTCATTTGCCATGCACTAAAATTAATGAGTGTGGTTCTGGAATCATGGCGTTTTCTTTCACACATTCGCGGGCATTATCCTCTGCAGATGTATTTCTTCATCAGACTAGAGTTATATAGTGCTACTATTGACTGTTCTCTCTTCCTGCAGTTGGTGAACAGACAGTTGTGCGCAGCTTCCCCATTGCCTCAATCACAAAGGAGAAGAAGATCACAATGCAGAACCAGCTACAGCAAAACATGCAAGAGGGATTGCAGATTACATCGGCATCTTTTCAGGTATAGATTGAGGATCATTTGCTTTTAATGCTTGAAACCAAAAGTATTTCAGATTGGAAGTTTTTCAGATTTTGAAATATTTCCATAGACTTTACCAACTGTGTGTCCCTGCTTCAAAAATTTAAAATCCAGATCACTCCAAAATCTAAAACTTTTGAGCACTAAAGTTTTAGACTGCAGAGTATTTGTTGAATTTCAGATATGATCAACTCATACTGAGAAATAAAATCCTCTCCCACTATTCAAAAGTTTTCTACAAATCTAATGATTTTATGATTACTTTCTGTGGTCTTGGACTCAGAAGTCAGAAGATGAGGATCAGGGTAATCTTCACCTGAGTGAACACATAAATAATTTTGGACTTAATCCTTCACTTAATCAACTCCTTAGCTAACTCAGAGTACCAGTGGATTATCTATCAATGTTTAGAAACTTAGATACATAGTGGCTCTTGTTCTCTGGTAAGTTAAACTTCAGTTCCTGTGTAATAAGCCCTTTTAAATAAAAAGCAGCTCTCTTCACAGCTGGCTTTCCTGTGGAAGAGGTGAAACCCTTAACTAAATTGGTACTAATTGAGTAGCCCTTGATAAACTGTTTCCCAGGGAGTTCTGAGCATATCAGAACTTGTAAAATTACTGATGCAAACCAGACTCTGGAAGAAGAAACTTTTTCTTAATTCACAGTCTATAATACGTTGCTTTTCCTATTCTTCATCTCTTGTCTCTGACTTCTCAGAGTTCCAAGAATATCACTTCTTGCCTCATTCTTTCTATTCAAGGAGCCCTCCCTAGAATCCCTGTGCTATTCTATTAAATGTAAGAGTAGTGCTCTTAAGACTCCAGACCTTCACATATCATGTGAGAATATTAGCTACTTAGGTATTTACTCACTGATCTAAATAACAAAAAACTCTACATTCAAATTCTGTCCATCGGTACTGATTAGAATTCTAGTCAACCTAATAGTTTTTCGTCCTAGAATTGTGGTGTCTCTGCCAAGATGTGTCCAAATTCCTAATCTACAACCAACAGTTGAGAAATGAAAGGGCACGCTTGCCATGTCAGCTACTACAAGTTAATTCCCAGTCCCCTCATAGCAAAACTAGTCATCACAGAAAAGAAGCTCAACTTCAAGATTGCAGTTATTTCTTGCTAACTAACCATTTATGGCAACTTAACATTTTTGAGCCTCACTTTTTCACTTTTAAATTTTTAAAAAATTGTTTTACATGTTATCCAAAGTTCCTACATTCTTCAAAATCTTTCTATTTAGTATTGTAATTTTTGCTGGCTTTTTTTGTTTTTAATAATTTGGGAGTTATGTGGAAATCCTTACTGTTTCTGATGTAATTAATCCCTTTTGTTTCCAGTTGATTAAAGTAGCATTTGATGAAGAAGTCAGCCCAGAAGTAGTAGAGATCTTTAAGAAGCAGCTCATGAAGTTCCGTTATCCTCAGTCCATTTTCAGCACTTTTGCTTTTGCTGCTGGACAGACTACCCCACAAATAATCTTACCCAAGCAAAAGGAAAAGAATACTTCCTTTCGGTAAGAGGAAAAACCAGTCTCTTAATTTTAGTCCTCCCGTGGTTGATTGTTAGAGGAAGTGCCTTAGTTGTTTTGTCAAGGTATAAATGGTTGCTTCTTTTGTCATTCTGTCAAGTCCATTGGCCCAACAACATGGAACAGTGTATGTATGTAACAGTGTAATGTGTGTAACAAGTTTCAAAATCTAAAAGCACTAAGATGGTCCATCACTAAGGACACATTTTTAAAATTTGAAATTCTACTTTGTTTTCCTTATTAATTCTTTCTAACTCTAATGTCTTTCTAATCACCTTTGAGCAGTCCTTGCACCAAGGGGACAATTTTGTTATATGCCTGAAATAGTCTTTCTTTTCTCTTTCTAGTCTTTTTATTTTGAATCATTTTAAACTTACAGAAAATTTATATTAGTCAAATATTGTCTATGTATACTTCACCCACATTAGCCAGTGGTCTTTACTTTGGTCATTTGCTTCATTATTCTCTTTGTCTCCTTCTCTTTCTTTCTCATATGTGCTTATAATTTCTGAGTCATTTAGGTTTAGCCCCTTTGTCATCCGGCCCCTTTACCCTTAAACATCAATAAACATTTTCTAAATACAAAGCTATTATTTCATTTAATCTTAATACAGTAATAAAAGCTAAGAAATTGGATTGAATAAAACTTTCATCTAACCCAGAGTTCATTCAAATTTTGATGACTATAATTACTTTTTTTCCTGGTCCATGATCAGGCATTGTATTTAGTTGTCACATGAATCCTTATTCTAATGAAAGCTTCTAGGAATTTATGTTGAAACGCTCAAATTTCAGTTATTACAGAATAACAATTCTTTTAAATTTTTTCCATTTATGGTGAAATATAAAGATGACTATTTTAGTGCATTCGCCATTAATCACCTTGAATGTAGGCATCTGACAATGCAAACTGCATATCAGAAGTAGTTTTGCTTTTTGCCTGAAAGTGGAATATATTGGGGATTGTAGAAGATTTGAAGTTTCACACAATATCTCATTTGCCAGGTGCACAACTAACACCTGAATTACTTGGGAAGTGAAGGGTCCGTGACTATGAAGGTGTGGTATGCCAACACATGAACAGCTTCCTTGGGATAGATAACAGTGAAAAAACCATCTTAGCACTGGAGGATCACAGAGGCCCCTGACTTGTTTGTTATTCCAGCCTCAGTGGAAGGTATAAAATGTAGTAAGGTGTCTTAGGTGTAGAAACTATTAGAAATACATATTTTTTTATTAGTTTCAGAGGTAGAAATCAATACCAAGCCTATTGTATGTCAGCTGTATAAGAAAGAGCAACTTAAAAATTTTAAGAATTTTTTAAGAACCTTGAGTGTGTGAAAAGAAAAATTATATCTCTAGCTGAGAAAAATTTTCAAAACTACATTGAGTTTAAATTATATCTCAAGTGGGCCGGGGTGATGGCTTGGTGGAATAAGCGCTTCCCTGACGAGCTCAAGGGCCTGAGTTCAATCTCCAGTTCCCAAAAAAAGTAAATAAATAAATTATATCTCAAGTGATTTACAGCAGCTTTAATTTAGGAAATAGCTGTATTTTAGAATTCCTAACAGTTTTAAAACATACACCACACCTTTCAGGTTTGTACTGTAGGTGACTAAAGATGGTCTAACAATAAAATCTTTACCACTTTTCACAGAATAATAAGAAAACAAGAAAAGAATTCTTTATGTTACAGATGAAAATAAACAAGGACAATTTTTATGCAAAATCTTTACTTCTATTAGATTAATCAGAAAAAAAAAACAGCTTCTTTGTTTAATTCTCTGCACAAAAACACTCTGTGCCTAGATTTTCTATCAGTAAGAAAAAAAGCTATCTGAATAAAGTACTTTAAGGTCTAAGGACTTTCCATCCTAGTTTTCCATTAACTCAAGCTGATTCTCAAAAAATACTCATGTTTCTGATTTTTTTTTAATCCTCTCTAAAGAGGGAGTACTCTTTTCCTATACCTTAGAAAATTTACAGCTAATTTTAGACGGGACTTCACCCATACACACTTAAACTGTTTAAGAAATAGGTCAAAATATTGCCAGTTGTTATTGTTTTATGATCTCAAAGAGAGTTTGGATCAGTAGAAAAGGGAGAGGTCAAGCTTTCCAATTGGGAAGACCTCCACAGCATGATCTATGAGGACTGTTGTGGAGACAGTGTCACAGATGTCCAGAGTGGGCTTGGGGAGCTCAACCAGAATGCTGAACCAAGGAGTTTCTGTTACAGTTTAAGTTTTTACATCTTGTGTTTAAAACAGTACCCTAATGACATGAAGTTTTACAGGAAATTAGCCTGCTGCCACAAAAAAGTGACCTAAAGAAGGAGAAGCTAGGAGGAAGTATGTACAGTACTGTGGTCTATGCTAGTGGTGGCAAAACTATAGCTAGCGTGCCACAGCAGGCTGTTTGTGTCACTGAAAGCTCTTAAAGGTTCCCCATCATTGATACATACTATACTTACAAGTTGTGGGAATGGAAACCAAAAATGGAGCTAGGTAAGTCTCAAAATGTAGTGATACCTTCATATTAAATTGACATTTGTTTGGTTTTATGACTTGTAGCACCTTCTCAAAAACAATTGTGAAAGGTGCCAAAAGGGCAGGGAAAATGACAATTGGGCGACAATATTTATTGAAGAGGAGGACAGGAACAATTATGGAAGAGAGAGTAAATCGTCCTGGATGGAATGAAGATGATGACATATCTGGTATGTAAGAATTTATTTTTCATGATTCAGTTTAATTCTTCTTATACGAATAAGAAAATAAGATGTAGCACTTAAAATCCTTTGTTGTTGTGTTTCAGTTTTTTGTTTTATTTTGTTGAGACAGAGCCTTGCTATTATAGTAAAAGCTGACCTCAGACTCACAGTGATTTTCCTGCCTCAGATTCCCAAATGCTAAGATTACAAGCATGTGCCACCATCCCAGGTTGTACTTAAACATTTATGAACAAAAGCCAGTATCTTCCAAGCAGTTTGGAAGACTTTACCAGCTTTTCTGGAATGGAAAAAGTTGTTTACTACTACTACTATATTATTTAGATAAAAGTCTGGTAAAATCACATTGGCCATTTTTATGTGGGTGTCTAGGTTATTTTTCTCTTGTTGCTGACACAAAATACCTGATACCCAAGATTAAAGGAGGACAGGTTTATTTAGCTCACAGTTTGTGGAGCTTTCTGTCCATAATCAGCTGACTCCAAAGCAGGGTAGCATGGTTGAGGAGCAAGCATTCATGGAGGTGGAAGACATCAAAAGCAACAAGAGCAAAAAGGGGAGGAAAGAGAGAGACAGCACAAGCCTCTTTCCCTTCTTTATATTGTATGCAGGCTACCCACCCCGGGAAGGTGTAGTACTCACCCTTAATCCCAGCATTGGACCATGAATCAGTCACAAACTATAGAAGTCAACTGCATGACCTCAGGAGGTTTTGGGGAGACATCTAGACACAACCCATAACTATGGATTTTTTTTTTGACCTCTGCTTCCCATTATCTTTATTTATCATACTACAAGTTGAAGTGAGTGACTAATGAGAAATGCTGAGCTCCAAGCAATCCTGTTTTTTTTTCATTGCTATAAAATGTTCAAAACTTTAAAGGGGGGGCAAGCAGAACAACACTATTTGGAAAGATTTTCTAGCTAGTTCTTATTTTTTT